CTCTGGTCTCGCCGGGGCCCCGCGGGGCAACTGTCGAGACCGGGCGTTGCATCGCTGGGGGCGCGGTCCAGGATCTTTTTCATCTCGGGGGGTTCGCGCGCTTGGATCGGGGAATTCGCGCGCTTGGCCAACGGCGGTGGTCGTGAGATCGAAGCCCGAATCCATTCGGGAGATGTCGGGTGGGCCCGTCTGGGCAAAGCTGTTTTATTGGGTGACCTTGGAGGGCTAGCGACTCTCTTTTCTCTCCTATGTAGCGGGGCGATTCTGGTCAGGTTTGGAAAGCAATATACTTCGCCCGCGGAAAGTGCATCGCATCGATCGCCCCATCGCGCGCAAACTTCGGGCCACGATGAAGGGCCGCGCGTCGCACTGATGGGTGCCAAGCACATCGACCCCTCGCTCCATTGCAGTTGTTTCAAGAGTGGCAGATTGCTCCCACTTCGATAGAACTACGCGTGCGCAGATTGAGCTGGTGGCAGAGTGCAGCGCGCGCCCCTGCCCAACGCGGGCACTTCTTGGCGACCCGTTTGGGGCGATGTAAGTTCGAGCAGCAGGCGGCCGCGAGTCGCCGCCCCGTCGGCCCAGCCACTCTCGCAACGCAGGGCGAGCTCGCAGTTGACTCGGATTCGCCCGCGGGCGACGCAGCTGGCGGGCGACCTCGAGCGCCTGGCCCCGCGCCCCATCGGGAAGTGCATCCAGGTGGCGTGGACCCCGCCCGCTATTGAAAAACCTGTGGGGGCGCGAGTGCGCGCGGGATTGCCCCCGGCGCTGCGACGCGCGCGCTCTCCGCTCCTCCTCTTGGATGGTGAGATGGGCCCCATCCAGAGACCAGCCAGCTCGCTCAGACCCTTCCCTTCCCCGCCGCTGTTGACGAGACCGGTGGCGGCGACGGAATCGGCCGCAAACAGCTTGTCACGCATCGGATTAAATCTCGGGATAACGAGCGCCTGGCATGCCGAATGCGTTTCCACATTCAGACCATGCAGCGCGACATTCACGATGGGCGCGGCAGGTGGCAGGCGCATGCCAGAACGTACTCATCGCGCATATCCCTGGCCCCCCGCGACATGGACAACGTGCCCCCTACGTGATTGCGATGCTGGCCATGCGCGCCATCATGAATGCCATGTACCGGATGAACTACGGACCCGCGTGCTCACGCATCGACCTCCGTCGCCATCGGGTTCGCTGCTTAAGCCAATTGTCAGAGCCGAGGCGCGTCCGTCGAGCAGTGGCCCCGTTCTGCCACCGCCACCGCGGTTGCCCTGTCTTTCTCCTCCTCGGCGGCCGTGAACCGCGGGGGCTGCCGCTGCCGTGAGAGCATCGCTCCGACGTCCTGCTGATCGCGTCCTCAGCACCAGCGCCGCTGCGTCACGGGCGTTGCGCGCGACGCGGCCTCGTCGCGGGCCGCTGGCAGCAGCGCCTGCGCGCTCGGCGACGGCGGCGGCGACGGCTACAGCCTCGGCCACGCCGGCGGCGTCAATAGCTAGATTTGGCCGCGCGGTCCTCGCTCGCGACTTCTACGCCGACGCTGCGGCCGCTACTTGAAGGTGGGGGGCGACTCGACGGCAGCGGCGCAGACTTTGCCGCAGGCCGCTCGGGCCGCCCGGCGCCCCCCCCTGGCTTCCTCGACGGGCTCCGCGGGGCGTGGGGGCGACTCCGGGCGCGATCGGGTGGGGGTCGCCGCCGGCGAATTATCGTCTCGCTCGCTCTCCGCCAGGGCGAGCGGAGGCGGCCCTCCCCCGGCTGCGCCCAGTCGGGTTGCGGGTCGCGGGCGAGGGCGCCCGGCGGGGCCGGGGGCCCAGGCAGATGGGGCACGGAGGTCGCAGGGCGCGGCGCGGCGACCGCGGCCAGGAGGTCTGGGGCAGTAAGGGCAAGAACCCGCTGGCCCTCCGGAGGGCAGCGCTGAAGCTCGCGCCCCAGAACTTGCGCAAGCGGCGCCGGCATCGACGCATGCGCGATGAGCACCAACCACCCCGCGATAGACGCGATTTCCCAGGAGCTCGAGGGCAACGAGCAGACGGCGACCCAGCCGCGCAAGGGCGGCGCCGAGGACAGGAAGCGCTTGACGGAGATCGGCTCGCCCGCGCCGTCACTGGACCTCGAAGCCTTGGAGGGCCCACTCAAGTGTGACGTCGGCGGCCGGCTCAAGGCGGAGATCGCGGAACATCTCGAGAAGGCGCAGCAATCGGACCAGGAGATTCGAAGTTTCGAAGGGCAATCTTCATCTCGCAATCAGTTTCATTCGGCTCGAGAATTGCTGCGATGCGGGCAAGATATTGGGCGCGCGCTGGCGTGGGAGAGACAGTCGACACACCGTCGCAGAGTGGCGCCGGCGAAATACATGATTCGAGGAAGAAGTGAGGCACTGGCTAGATACGTTCGAGCAGTGAAGCTTGCGCGAGGCGCATCGCTTCCAGCCAGCAGCAGTGTGAGCATAGTTTATGTTACCTCCTTCTCCTCTCTCACCCCTGCAGATGTGCGCGCGCACGTTGAACATATTTGCTTGAGCAGGGGGGGGAGGGTAGCTTCCCTCGCGCGAACTTTTAGATACGACCGCCGAGGACGAAACCGCCGCATTTTTGCACGACTAAGAATTCCCCCTGTCACGTGAAAGCGCAGCGCAGCCCCCCTGTGCCAGTGCCCATGCGATGTGGTTCCGTGCGGGGCAATCCGCGATATCCAGGCCCAGTGCGACGGACCCGAATGCTCTTTTTCAAAACCTGCAGCCTCCAGCTGGGTCCTGACGTCGAGGAAAATCATCATCATCATCATTATCATCATCATCATCATTATCATCATCACCGGCATCATCCTCATCATCATTATCAGCATCAGCATCATCATCATCCTTGCCATCATCATGAACAACCTTCCTCCCTCTTCAATCCTCCGTCCGCCTCCTTTTTCTTCCTCCTCCTTATGATTCTCATTACCATCATATTCATCATCACTATTTTTCACCATCGCCATTACCATCCTAGTTGCCCGACTCACCATGTTTGACATCATCAACATCATCAACAAAATCACCATTCACATCTTCTTCATCCTCATCATTATCCCCATAAACATCATCATTCTCACCATCATCACCGCCATCCTTTTCATCATCACCATCAGCATCATCATCTACATCATCAAACCTCTTCCTTCCTCCCTCCTCCCTATTCCCTCCTTCCTTGTTTCCGCCTCGTCCTCATCCTCCTCCTCCTCCTCCCCCGCCCGCTCCCTTTCCTCCTCCTCCTCCTCCTCCTCATCATCATCACTATCATTATCCTAATCATTATAATCATCATCAGCCCTCCTCCCTCCTCCATCCTCCCTTATCTCTCCTCCCGCCTCCCTCCTCCGTCCTTCCTTTTCCTTCCTCCGTCCTCCATCCTCCTCCTCCTCCTCCTCCTCCTCCTCCTCCTCCTCCTTCCCGTCCTCATCCTCCCTCTCCTCCTTTTTTTCCTTTCAATCTCGGCTTCTTAATTTTTCCTAACGCGGCCATTTCTTCATCGTCCTCCTCTTCCTCCTCCCTCTTCCTCCCTCCTCCTCCTCCTCCTCCTCTCTCCTCCTCTCCTCCTCCTCCTCCTCCTCGTCCTCCTCCCTCTCCTCCTCCTCCTCCTCCTCCTCCTCCTCCTTCTCCTCCTTCTCTTCCTCCTCCTCCTCCTCCTCCTCCTCCTCCTCCTCCTCCTCCTCCTCCTCCTCCCCCTCCTCCTCCTCCTCCTCCTCCTCCTTCTCCGCCTGCTCCTCCTCCTCCTTTCCTTTCCTTCCTCGCCGCGCTGCGCGAAGGGCTGTGGCAGGCCTCCCCGTGAGATCTCCGCGCCGCAGTTTGTGTTTGGGCGGGGCGTCTTCACAGATTGTCTTCGGGCCTTGGGGGCCGTCGTTAGTCGATGCCGCTCGAGAGGTACCGCCGAGAAGTGGGGCCCAGGCCTCCGGTCGTGATTCGTCACGACGTGGCACATCTTTCGCTTCATTTCGCACGGGGCCAGGGCGAGGACAGATCCTCCGACCCCCTTGGGGCGCCCACGCACCTTCAGCTTCATCACCCCCTCTTGTCCGATGCTTTCGTGGCTCCATCAGATCAGATCGGACGGGGCCGGGGCGAGGATGAATCCGTTCCAGAGCGTTCTGGGTCGCTCTCAGAGCGTTCGTGAACGCTCTGAGAAGGACACGGCGTCCAAGACATCCTCCAGAACCGCCAAGTTTCAGAGATTCTCGATGTGAATTCACCCGAATTTGTCCGAGTCGTCCTGGCTTCGCCCTGGCTTCGTCTTATCGTCGGATGTCAGGGTCCGCTGACGGCATCTGTACACCACCACCGTGCCTGGCGGCGAGGCCCATCCTTGGCTCCACGATGGCGTAGAGACCCTCCAGGCCTCGGCCAGTGGGGTCTGTAGAATGTCGTGGGGCCCAGGATGGCCCTGGCCTAAGACACGGTGGTGGCAAATACCCAGACATGCGATGTCGTGTTTTTTCAGTGCGCCGTGCCCGAAAGTACCCGGCCCTTTCCCCATGGCCAGTGTTTCGTTCCGGGCCGTTTTTAGACGGCCCGGGGGGGCTTGGAAGGGCCCCCAGAGGCCGAGCATGGAGAAGAACTTCTGTCATGTCTGGGCGGCATGTCTGGTTAGATGCCTTCTGCCCGAAGCTTGTCCCGGCAAAGCAGCCTAACAACAGCGAGGCGCATGAGCATATCGGGAAGCATTCCCCTTAAGGTTCAGGTGAGACTCCAGTTGTAGAACTCTGCTGTTCTCGTCTGGGCGGCATGTCTGGTTAGATGCCTCCTGCCCGAAGAAAATAAGACAAAAAAGGCATACGCAGACACTCTCGGACCTCCGCGCGCAGTTCTTGGACTGGCGCCGTGCCGTCCTCCTGGCGCGCCGAGCCGCAGAGCACGCCGGGGGACGGCTCTGGAGGCGCCGCCAGGGGGACCCTCCCCCGATCCAGGAAACCCACTCGGAGCTCCGAAGGGTGATGGTTGTGCCGTTTGTGGTTCCGCCGTTCTGCGCCAGGCCGCGCCAGACGCCCCGCGGTGCCCGACCCCCAGCACGGGTCGCGGCTCCCCCGCGTCCAGGCGCAGGGCTTCTGCCTCGAGGCTCTCGGTGCGCAGTCGTAGCTCCACCACCCTGATGTCGGGGCCGCCGTCCACTACCGGGCCCGGGTCGCTCGGCCTCGCCGACGGCGGCGGCCTGGCCGAGGCGTGTCGGAGGAGGACAAGGCACCGATACCGGTACCCTTACCTCGTTTCGCCTTGCTGGGCCTCCTGGAAGGCCCTCGTCGCCACCGCCGGATTCGCCTCGAAGCTCTGGTCTTACTGCATCCAGGGAGAGGGCTGGGGAGTAGCGGCATCGGTACTTTTTAGTTTCCCCCGAGAAGAGGAGGAGGAGGAGGAGGAAGGAGGAGGAGGAGGAGGAGGAGGAGGAGGCGGAGGAGGAGGAGGAGGAGGAGGAGCAGGAGGAGGAAGAGGTAGGAGGGAGGAGAGGAGGAGGAGGACGAGGAGGAGGAGGAGGAGGAGGAGGAGGAGGGAGGAGGAGGAGGAGGTTGGAAGAGGAGGAGGAGGAGGAGTGCCACTGTAAACCCAAGACTCTCCAAGGATATTGAAACACACCATCCTTCCAATATCCCTTTTCACAGGACCCTAGAAGGGGTCATTTCCACTGAGGGAATGGCCCCGGTGGGGGACAACCGTGTGAACATGTTGAAACGTGTCAAACAAACACCACTCTCAGGAATTCAACGCCACGAGTCAACCTGACTGCTACGTCTTGGCGATCCTGAATCGCGCCAGAACGCAGTTCCTGGAACTTCAACACCGCGACTCAACGTAACTGTATCGAATCGTAGCAAAACGCCGTCTCTGGTACGTCAACCGTGATAATCAATCAATGAAACTCTGGCGAATTTTGTAAACGACTGTTCGCGGCGACAAGGCGAGAGCCACATTTTGAAAACCACCCGACCTCAATCCTTGAAGCTCTTGCAAATGTTGAAAGCGATGTTGCGCGTCGCTTAGGCGAGAGCCACTTTTGTTGAACCCCGCCGCCCTCCAGTTGTGAAGCTGTTGTCATCAATGTTTAATCATCAGGGTCATAAGTGGTGAGGAAGTCTCAGGCGAAACGCCGGGCCCGCCCTTTCGACTGGCCTCGGGGTGCGACAGGGAGGAGTAACCTATAAGGAAAAGGAATTGAGAAGGAGGGGAAGGAGGAGGGGGAGGAGGAGGGGGAGGACGGGGAAGAGAAGGAGGAGGACGGGGAGAGGGCCGGGGAGTATCCGGCGGTAGCTTTTGGTTTCCCTAGGTGCGGGGCTGCGGGGCGACAGTGGTCGACATGATCCGGTCCAGGCGCGGTGGTCGCCGGTCCCTGCCGCTGGAGGGCGGGGACAGCAGGGGCGACGTTTGTCTCGAGGAGGAGGATGAGGAGGAGGAAGGAGGAGGAGGAGGAGGGAGATGAGGAAGAGGAGGAGGCGGAGGAGAGGGAGGAGGAGGAGGAGTAGCCGGAGGAGGAGGAGGAGGAGGAGGAGGAGGAGGAGGAGGAGGAGGAGGAGGAGGACGAGGAGAGGTTTGGGGAGGGGGAGGGGGAGGGGGAGGAGGGGATCGACTACAGAACTGATTCACGCCAGAATTGATCTGTTCGTCGACACTACGAATAACAAAAAGACGTAGCGTTTTCGTATATCTACGATTATGCTACATATGTATTGTAGACTCGCCGAACATTTTTGGGATGAGTCCATTCTGCTGCCGATCCACTACTCGAGTTTGGGGGGATAGGTTCAGGGGGGATGCATCGACCCTTCGTCCCACCCATCGCCCATTCATCGCCGATAGGGGCCCGATAGCCCACCCCGCCCAAGAACGTGCAGATCCACTATTGGGGCCCCATCGCCGATCTATGGTCTCTGGCAGCCGTTCGGGATGATCCAAGCATCCCCAGAACGATCTGGGCGAGGCGCAGCTGCCGGAACGCACCCTGAGGCTGGAGAGCCGCCCAGAACCTGCGAAAACGTTCCCAAACCGAACGTAGCACCTCAGGACAGCAGCCGCCCCACCTCCAGCGGATCGTCCCGCTCCACGAGCTCCACAGGCACCGAGGGGGCCAGCGGGGCCCCAGGCAGCGGCAGCGACGTCATGGAGGTTCGGTATCGTGCAACCGATCCCCGTCCGCACAGGGCCATGGCATCTCAGCCCCACCGTCCCACCATCCTAGTTCTTGGCATTGCTCGGACGTGTGCATTTTTCCTGGGGCGAGGACCATCGAGGAGCATCCTTGATCATTTGGCGAAAAAACCACGCACGAAACCGAAAAAAACACAGGGAATGGACGTCCGAGCGATGGCCAGAGTTGGGGATAGGGTCCTCGGAACCCGAAGGGAACAGCCCTCCTCCCCATCCAGGTAGGTAACTCGGCCAGTGGGGCCCAGGCCCAGGCCACGCCAGTGAGAATAGGAATCGGTGAGACGATGCTCAGAGGTGTGCCGCCTAGCCAGGGCCATGCGGGTGCCCGTGGCAGAGATGCAGCGGTCGTACGCGCTCTTCCGGGCGTACGCGGGCCCCCTCGCCGCGGGTGCCGAGCTCCTCCGGGATGGGCGTGTCAGTCAGGATCGAAGAAGGGAAACGGCATGAACATCAACTTTCGGAGCTTCGCGCGGATTCTAGGATCGGCGCTGGACCCCCTTCATGGCGGCGCCTCCAGCGCTGCCCCTGGCGCGCTCTGCGCGCCAGGAATGGGGTCCAGCGCCGATCCAAGAAATCCGCGCGGACCTCGAACAGTTGATGTCTCTAGCCTCCTCCTCCCCCCAGAGTACGAAGTCGGCTTTTCACGGCAGCCGTGAGAGCACGGCCGTGTGCACCGTCGTGCGTTTTTTACCAGGGATCGTAGCCGCCGGGACCAAACACGCAGCTGGCATGAACTTGGCATCGCTCGGGCGAGGACCATCGAGGAGCATCCTTGATCATTTGGCGAAAAAGCCACGCACGACACCAAAAAAAAAACAGGGAATGGACGTCCGAGCGATGGCCAGTGAAGGCGAGAGCACGATGTCTAGATAAGCCGTGCAGAATGATCGGGCGAAGCGGCTGCCGCGGGCCAGGCTTCCTCGAGCTCGCTGCTCGCTGTCTCCCCTGCGGGACTCTTCTGTGGTCTTGTTTGTACATCTTCAGCGAGCGAAGAACGGTATAAAATAATCTTTTCGCCGTCGGGGACACCTGCCTCTGGGCGGCTGGAAAGTTTATACACCTACGGTGCCACCGTAAGGGTATACATTAGTTGGTTTTACACCGTTCTTCGCCCGTTAACAACTGGTAGAAACCTCCATCGAAACGCTGTCAGGAGAACGCTGCACAAACAGATTTTCTCGGGGCCTCGCGCGGATTGCGAAGGCCTGGCGGTCAGTGCCGCCGACCTTGAAGGGGGACGACGACGACGACGACGACGACGACGACGACGACGACGACGACGACGACGACGACGACGACGACGGCGACGGCGACGGCGACAACGGCGACGGCGACGACGACGACGGCGACGACGACGACGACGACGACGACGGCGACCGCGACGGCGACGGCGACGACGACGGCGACGGCGACGAACACACATTCTAAAACTGAAGGAAGGTCATTGAGTTTACCATCTCGGGATTGTCTAGGGAGTGCTCTCGGGGCTCTCTTGGGCCTCTTAGGGGCCTCTTGTGGGCCTCTTGGGGGCCTCTTCGGGGCTTCGTGGGGGTCTCTTGGGGTGGAATTCTCGAAATGTTGGTAGTTGTCCCTCGTCTCAGGAGCTTCTTGTGGCCCTCGGCCCTCTTGGGACAATATTCGGCCGTCTTGGGGGCCTTTTTGGCGGTCTTGAGGCTGTCTTGGGCCGTCTGGGGACCGTCTGAGGTTGTTTTCGGGCGCTTTCGGTAGCCTCTTGGACCGTCAGGGGCCGGTTTTTGGTGGCTTCCTGGTCCGTCCTGGAGTGTCGGAACCCCGAAAGGGCGTTAACAGAAACGTATAGAACAACTAAATGAAATCATGGATGTTCGTCCCCTGGGCCCTTTTGGCTATTATTGGATCCCTATCGGGGCGTCTTGGGAGCGTCTGCGGCCGTCTTCAGGGTATCTTGGGCCGTCTTGGAGCGATATTGGGCTGTTTCAGGGCCATCTTGGAGAAAGCCGCGGAACAAGTGACGACGTTGCTCGATTTCCCTCCAGCTGGATCGCTTGGGGAGGAGAACCCACGGACAGGGGGGGGAGCGGCGGCGGCGACCACGACGAGGACTCCAAAACGGAAAAGAGTGTGAGGGGACGGGAGTGGCGACGACGACGATTCGAATGGAAAAGCCTTTCACACACGTCAACAGGGTCGGCCGGCCACTGTTGCGCGCTGCCGCTTTCGTGCTCGAGCTCGCTTTCAATGGACGCGGTTACAGCCCCCATGAGGGGAAGCGGATCCAAAGCTGAATGCCCTTGGACGGGCAACGGGTGATTGTGCTCCGCGGTCGTGTTCATAGGAAAACACAACACACAAGCACACCGACGGTCGGCGGATGACGGGAAGCGCCTTCTCGGAACGAGAAGGTGGTGGGAGTTTTCTAGCATTGTCTAACTGAGGAATAAAGAAAGAACAAACTCGCGACGGACAACTGACTCCCGACCGTAATGGTTCTTTGGTTGGCGGGTTACGGGAAGCGCCTTCTCGGAACGAGAAGGTGATGCGAGTTTGTTAGGCCAAGCTTTCTAATAATAGATAAAACCGAGCTCGCGAGGGACAATTGGCTCGGGATCGCACGGGGCTTATCGCTCGGCGGATTACGGGAAGCGCCTTCGCGGAACGAGAAGGTGATAGGAGTTTGTCAGGCCAAGCTTTCTAATAACAAATAAATAATAAACCTGCGAGGGACAACTTGCTCGGGATCGCACGGGACTTTTCGCTTGGCGGATTTCGGGAAGCGCTTTCTCGGAACGAGAAGGTGATATGAGTTTGTTAGGCCAAGCTTTCTAATAACAAATATTGAACAAATTCGCGAGGGACAACCGGTGCCCGATTGCACGGGACTTTTCGCTCGGCGGATCACGGGAAGCCCCTTCTCGGAACCAGAAGGTGCTGGAAGGTTGTTAGGCCATGCTTTTAACGAACTAATAGAGAACGAACTAACAACTGGCTGCGGGATCGCAAACGTTTTTTCGCTTGGCGGATCACGGGAAGCGCCTTCTCGGAACAAGGAGGTGATGGGAGTCTGTTAGGCCACATGCTCTTCACGAACTAATGCAGAACTAGCTCGCGAGAGACGACTGGCTGCGGAGATGCAAAAGATTCGTTGCTCGGCGGATTCCCCCCAAACGGCCGTTTCGCTAGAGACATCCTCGAACAAATGAGATGCTGACGTCGTGTGTTTCAGACGCCTTTTGTTAAACATGAGGCTCTCGCTCGAGACATTTTCGAAAAGCGAGCTACCGAGCTTGCTCGCGAAATCCAGCGAATTTCGAGTATGGCCGTTTCGTTGGAGACATCCTCGGAAAAGTGAAATGTTGAAGCCGTGTGGTTAAGACGTCTTCTGTTCAAACTGAGGCTCTCCCTCGAGACATCCTCGGAAAATTGCATTCGCAGCATCTTCGCTTGAGGTCTTGTCTCTTCCGTCTCTTCCGTCTCCTCCGTTTCTGAGGTCCCCTCCGTTTCTGAGGCCTCCTCCGTCTCTGAGGTCTCCTCCGTCTCTATTCCGTCTCCTCCGTCTTCCTCCTTCTCCTCTTCCCCCTCCTCCTCCTCCTCTTCCTCCTCCTTCTCCTCCTCCCCCTCCTCCTCCTCCTCCTCCTCCTCCTCCCCCTCTCTCCTCCTCCTCCTCCTCCCTCCCTCCTCCTCCTCCTCCTCCTCCTCCTCCTCCTCCTCCTCCTCCTCCTCCTCCTCCTCCTCCTCCTCCTCTCGTCTCCGTCTCTGAGGTTTCCTCCGCCTCATCCGTCTCTGAGGTGTCCTCCGTCTCTGAAGTCTCCTCCATCTCTGAGGTCTCTTCCGTGTCTGAGGTCTCCTCCGTCTCTGAGGTTTCCGAGGTCTCTGAGGTCTCCGAGGTCTCCTCCGTCTCCTCCGTCTCTTCCGTCTCTCAGGTCTCCTCCATCTCCTCCGTCTCCGTCTCCCCCCCTCCTTCTCCTCTTCCTCCTCCTCCTTCTCCTCATCTTCCTCCTCCTCCTTCTCCTGCTCCTGCTCTAATTTCTTCCCCTCCTCTTCTCTGAGGTCTCCTCCGTCTCCTCCGTCTCTGAGGTTCCTCAGTGTCTGAGATCTCCTCCGTCTCTGAGGTCTCTGAGGTCTCCTCCGTCTCTGATGTTTCTGAGGTCTCTGAGGTCTCCTCCGTCTCTGAGGTCTCCTGCGTCTCTGAGGTCTCGTCTCCTCCGTCTCTGAGGTCTCTTCCGTCTCTGAGGTCTCCTCCGTCTCTGAGGTCTCCCCCGTCTCTGAGGTTTCTGAGGTCTCTGAGGTCTCCTCCGTCTCTGAGGTCTCTTCCGTCTCTGAGGTTTTCTCCATGCGATCGATGTGAGCTATGTGAGTCTCTTGAGCCTGGCACCCTTGGACACCAACTCTATGTGAAGGGCTCCTGCTGCCGCCCAGTGAGCCCCCTGTTGAACCCATGCCTGAGGACGTCTTGGAGCGCTGGGCTTTTTTTGCGGGGCCTTGGGGACAATGGACACTGGACCAGGCGCGCGTGAGTGGGACACGCTCGAGCTTGCCTACGGTCTGCCGTATCACCCTACACCTTAGGCGATGCTTAAGAAAACCTAAGTTGTCGGCCATAGTCTCGATTATTCTTAATATTTCAATGTAAATCTTAAGGTTTTAATGGAAACGTTGGGTTTTTATTCAAGTTCTGGGACTATGAATTTCTTAACCCATGATTTCTTAAGCATTTCGCAGGGTGTATAGTATAAAGTTAGCGCCCCAGCCCCTGCAGTGCCCTGTGTTCCACTGGGGGGCTACGCACCTTCCCCGGGGTCGGCGGATCTACACTGGCGGCTCGGGGCTCGCGAATGCGAGCCCAGAGCTGCGTAGGTGTGGATGGGCCGCGGTTGAGCTTTCGGATTCGGGCCTGCCATGGAGGGCGGTGTACGGGCCTCTCCCTGGGCGCCAGTCGGTGCCACGCGCGGAGAGGTATGCGGGCCTGATGGCGATGAAAGTAGCCCCCCCCCCCCCCCAGGTAGACACCATATATAGTGACCATTTCACGTTTGTGAGAGAGGGTAATACCTGGAATCGCCAGCTGGGAGGTGGCATGGCAAGGCATGCAGACATCTGGAGGCAGATCCTTCAGCTCTGCGAGCCTGACCGAGGCCCCCCCAAAGTTTGAGTGGGTCCCTGCCCACAGGGACATCGAGGAAGTGATGGTGCTGGAGCAGGGACAGGTCACCTGCTACTTAGGCCACCACTGGGCTGATCTTTTCGCGCGTCTGGGGGCCCAGGGCCACCAGTATGCACAGGTGGCTGTTGATGTCGAAAGGGATTGTTGGAACGCCTGTAAGCAAAACTGGAGTTTCTTGGCGCGTGCGGTCCAGATGATTGGGGGGGTACTCGAAAGCCTTCGAGAGGCCTGAGAAGATGCCCCCTAGGCTTGAGAAGACTGACCGTCTCACCTTGCTTTCTCC